TCGGAACCCTCCGCAGTCAGGTCTCGTTTGATGTCATGCACTTGATGTGCGACATCGTCTTAGGAACCCCGTGGCTGGACCGCTACATGCCATACGCATTCCACCCCAACTTCCTTCGCCTCACCAACCCCCCCGACATAACCATTGATATCCCCTACCTCCCATATCCGACCTCCCAAGGCTCTGTCACCCCGCACCAATTCCTCCACATGGCTTGCCTAAACCCCGACTCCGCCTACTACTGTCTTGTCCTTGATCGCGAAAGTCCCAACGACTTACTCCCGACGGACAAACCCGATCAAGCCCCGCCCTCCAACCCCGCTATCACTTCAATCCTCGACGAGTTCAGGGACGTCTTTCTTGAGTCCTTACCCGTCGGACTACCTCCGGATCGTGGCGTATCGCATACCATCGATTTGGAACCCGGACATTCTCCACCTTGCCGCCCTCCATACCAACTCTCTGTCCCCGAAGCCGAAGAAATGAAACGGCAACTCGGTGAACTCCTTGAAAAAGGGTTCATTAAGCCAAGTTCATCCCCCTTCGGAACCAGCTGCCTTTTCGTCAAGAAAGGTGGAACTTCGGAACTCCGCATGTGCACAGACTACCGCGCCTTGAACCGGATCACGATCAAGAACAAGTACCCCCTACCTCGGATTTCCGAGCTCCTTGATCGTCTYCGTRGAGCTAAGTACTTTACCAASATCGACCTTYGCAGTGGSTTCCACCAGATCCGTATCCGCGAGGAGGACACCCACAAKACCGCGTTCCGCTCTCGGTTCGGGCACTACGAGTTTCTCGTGATGCCCTTCGGACTCACCAATGCYCCCGCTACCTTCCAATCTACCATGAACCACATCTTCCGCAACCTCCTCGAAGTCTGTGTCGTCGTCTACCTTGATGACATCCTTGTCTTCAGCCCCACCTTCGAGTCCCACCTTCWGCACCTCCGCCAAGTTCTCTCGATCCTCCGCGAGCAAAAATTCTACGCCAAGCTCAGCAAATGTACSTTTGCCGCTTCGAGCGTCGAATACCTTGGCCATATTGTCTCCGCTGAAGGCATCCGTATGGACCCCTCAAAGATCACAGCCCTCGTCGAGTACCCCCCACCCAAGACCCTCCTCCAACTTCGTTCCTTCCTTGGCCTTGCCAACTATTACCGCCCGTTCATTCGCAACTTTTTCGAGATCTCTTACCCTCTCCACGAACTCACCCGCAAGGACGAGCCTTTCTATTGGAACGATTGCCGCCAACAAGTTTTCGACTTACTCAAGCAAACCATCACCACGGCCCCTGTCCTCAAGATCGCCGACCCCACTCGCCATTTCTATGTCACCACTGACGCCTCCGACTTCGCCATCGGAGCCGTACTGTCCCAACATTTGCCCCGCGACACCATCGAGACCCCCTCCATCAAGGACTCGCCCACTCACCCCGAGGCTTCACCTGGCGAATACCCCATCGCCTTCGCAAGCAAGAAGCTCCTTCCCGCGGAGATGAATTACCCCTCCAACGAGAAGGAACTCCTCGCCGTGATTCACGCCCTCACAGTCTGGCGCCCGTACCTTGACGGGCAATACTTCACC